GTTCACGGAAACGGTAACCTTGGTAGTAGCAAAAAAAGAGTGATAAGGAGGTGACTGACCGCCAGTGAGTGGGCGACTGACGAGTGAATCAGGGAGTGCCGGATCATAAATCGCCCTGACTGTGTGCGTTATATAAGTCCATAGAGAAGGACTTAGAATTCTCGTTCATTGAATACAATGGGCAGTGAGGGAGCAGCTGCCAGGAATGTGCCGCACTGCTTTCTGGACATCACTGTGTGGTCACCACTAGCAGCTCCATGTCGCAGGCTGTGCCATTATTCACTGGGTGGCATTACCAGTAAGTCTCAGGGCCAATGGACAAGACCACAGGGCAGGGCCACAGGGCCGGGCAGGGCCTGGAACAGGGTTGGGCAGGGCCGGGAATGGCGGTACCTTGACGCCAGCGGCCTGGCAGGCCGCGATGACAGTCTGCGTGCCCTGGCAGTTGACCCGGTAGAAGAGGTTCCGATTGTTGCTGGCCGGACTTGGGGAGGCACAGTGGAACACCACGCTCACACTCTGCAGCGCTGGCATCAGGTCCTGGTGACGACACGCGCACATACACACCGGCACAGCCGTTCATTAATTAATCATATTCACAATCATAATCACGTTGCACAATGGTGCTCGTTCAAACTGTCGTGGAGGCAACGCTGCAGCGGCGTTTGTAACGTCATCGCTACCACTGCGCGCGGAGTCCTCAAGGAGACGTGGGGGACGAGCGCTTGGGACAGCGGCCAGAACCGACACTGGCATCAATTCCCCGAGCTCTGCGGTCCTATATTTGGATGTTTGGCCAACTCCATTAATGAGTGCTTATACTTGTGGGAGGAAAGCGGAGCAGCCGGAGTATACCTACTCAATCCCTGTACCACTGGAAATTAACCTACTTGCATTCCTGCCAAGGCACCCTGGCCATAAGCCAGGAGATGGTGACCTTGATGACCATGGGTAGGGAGGGAGTTTGACAAGCGTTCGTGATCCACCAACCCCCGCTGCCGACACAGAGCTGCACTCCAGGTCACGTGCAGCAGCGTGGCCCCAGTGCCCATCATTTGTTCTGTCCCTTGCTCAGTCACTCACTCAACCTTTTACTCATTCCTTACACAATGACGAGCGTCGCTGTGGAGTACACAAGTGGCAGTGAGTAAGCGGACGGTTCGCCTCATTGAAGAGAGAAGGGAGAGGGGTCCTTGTTTGTGTACGATTGTCAGTTCACCTGCAATGGTTCAAGCGAGCCTGACTCTGCTTATGAGACACTGAATGTGAATACCGGGCCAGAGTTTTGCTGCTGATGAGATGCACTCCCAGAAGGCCATGCGGTTGATGGGATGTGTACAAACGACTCGCATTTTTATGTGGAGGGGACAGTTGTGGGACGGAGGTACAATCGTCCCGCCAGTTATGTTGCTACTTATATTCTGCATATCGGTCCACACCATCACAGACTTAATTTTGCATCTCCCACACCCTCGTCTTCCCCCCAACCGTCCGTTCGTCCTCTCCTCCTCCTCCGCTGCACCTCCTTCTCTGCTCCCCCTCCATGGCCCCCTACTCCCACGCCCTGCCCCTGCAAGCAGTGCCGCCTCAACCCCTCTGAGTCACTTCGAAACGTTGAGCCCCTCGTGAGGGGTCGGGTGACGGTGGCTGCAGAGACTTGGGGGGAGGTAGGGGATGGGCGGGTGGGGGGAGGGGGGTGGAGAAGGGTTGGTGGGAGATGGGGGGATTGTGTTGGGGAGGATGGGGCCATTGGGAGGTGGACACCACGACCACTGGAATGAGACGACAACAAGAACAGCGAGTGGACACTGTGCTTCCCTCACAGATCCGTCTATCCACATGAACCGTACAGTACAGTTCACACATGCCATCAGCAGCACAGCCTTCTGCCAGAATTCTATATGGACAGGTAGGGGAAGGAGGTGGATTGTCTGGTTATTGTCACTCACTCTTTTGTTCACTCATTCAGGATCGACTCTTCCCACAAACCAGGCAAAGCCCACAGAGGCTTTGTAGCCAGGATTGTTACGCGCCTCCTCTGCAGAGCCGTTCGAGTCGTTGGTTAGCAGGGAGGCCGAGTGGTGGCTCAGAGGTCAGAGAGCGCTGAGCAGGCACCGCCGAAATCCTGTTTCCAATCCGGGTTTCAGCCGCAAGTTGGTCAACAGTAAGTTGGTTAACAGTGACTTAAATAGAGACTCATAGACTCACAAAGAGACCCATAGACTCACACAAAGAACCAAAGACTCATAGGGTGAGTGGGTGAGTGCATGGGTGAGTGATTGGGTTCGTGGGTAAGTGAGTAGGTGAGTGAGGCTGCTAGATTTCTGTACAGCCCATGGAGCTTGTAATCACCAACACGCTCTTCTGGCATGAGCAGACCCACATAACATCATGGCTGCACGCCAGGTCCAAGCAAGAACATCTGCCGAAGTTAATAGTCCAAACAGTGAATGTGGGTCCATGTCCTTGACACCAGAACCTACCATGGAGCTGACATGTCCACTGAACATCGGCTTGTCACCTGTAAGAAGTGCCTGCCATTCGTCCACTGCGGTGGTGGGCATCCATCTATAACCCCATTTAAACCCACAGTGGCCTGGTCTCACCTCACTGCTGATGAAAGTTGCAAGCAAAAATGTAATCATCACTTGCAGCTGGGGTTGACATCATCCCCTCTTCCTCCCGATGCCGAGCAGAAATTGGTGAAGTTCAGGAACATGGCTCATGCGGCTGCTATGGCTGCACTGGGTATGGTGTTCCGGCTAGGTCACGGAAAGCGATAGGTCCACTCCCACTGTCTACAACATTCAACGTCAGAGAATGAGAAGACTCACCACACGCTCGGAGGTTCAGAGAGCCGTTCGGTACTGCAAAGTTGAGTGATGCTCATGGGTTGATGAACAGATGGAAACGTCCTTAGCAGCTCTCTATCACAAATCACTTTTAATTCCATAGAAAAAGTAACTTGCAGAGCCATGCCTATTCTGGTCCTTTAGGAAAAATGGTGATCTGATCTCCAGGAATAGGTCTGCAGGTTTGCTAAGCAATTCTGTGAGGTCTTGGGAGAGGGGAATCTCCTCAGCCCATGGGGCAAGGTGGGGTTGACCCTGCTGGGGTTACCGTTGCTCAAATATTAAGAGGAAGTAGCCACCCCTTTCGAGTGGCTGGATGATATGCCGCCTGGTGCAGGGAGCTTACCTCCTGGTTGCACAGGTCCCCCGTGAAGTAGACGACGCCAGAGATGGGGGGCCCCGGGCGGACATCGAACACCCCCACCGCGTACCCTCGCGCCACCAGCGCCTCCACGAGGTGCTGGCCCAGAAACCCAGCCCCACCGATCACCAGGCACCGCCGCTCGCCCTGCAGGCCACAAACACAAAGATCCCCCGTGAAACCTTAACAGACTGTTGGGGCAAGTGCTGTTATCGAGAAGCATCTATGAAAGCCAGCACGGCACACGAAATGCGTGGCCAACACCATGCACGGCTGTCTGTCTCCCAAGTGCCAATATTTACACATGGCGCTAGGTACTAATTTTAGGGTGAGTGCATCAAGTGGCCACCCAAGACTGGTTCAGATAATTGCCACTAGTGTTGGCCATGAACATTAATCGAACTCGAGTAGTTGAGTTTGAGGCGGTGTGCCAACCACTGCACCACCGCTCTTCACACAAATGCACACTTCTACGAGTTAAAACACTCGCTCACCCACTCGCTCACTCAACCACTCCCTCACCCACCCACCACCCTGCAGGTCACCTTGCGTCTCTGCTTCTTCCCTCGAACTGCTGCCTCTGCTACCGTTGTCTCTTTCCCCAAGTTCTTATAATAACCTCACTCAATTAAAGAAAAGTGTTACACGCTTATCTAATGCAACTTTGATATTCTTTGGGTCTTTCGGTAAAGTCACGTAGATAGGTTCAAAAAAAATAACAAACAAAAAAAGCATTCGTGAAGATGACGAACGCTTGTGTTGCGATCGAAACGTCGTAGTTTTTTTTGGTTATTTTCTTTGTACCTGTCCACGTGACTTTACCGAAAGACCCAAAGAATATGAATTCTTGCAGTCACGAAAGCTTTAAGTCAAGATGCAACTTTGATAGCATCGTTTTTTGCTGGCCAGTTGGCGTTTAGGGCCTGTGCTCACCGCTTTGCAGCAAGCTGACATGAAGCGTGGTCTTCACGTCTCACAGGGAAGGGGGGTCCTCACATCAACATCTGGCAGTTCACCAGCATTGCTTCAGGCAAGCTGGATTCTGCTGACAAGACACTGAATGTCTAAATCAGTACACAGTGTTCCTTGTGATGAACCAATGCTGCTGAAATTACGTACTCCCTGAAGGCCGTACGGCTGATGGGATGTGTAAAACACTTGTATTGTTCTTGCGTGGAGGGACGCATATGGGAAAGAGGCGTCCATTTATCCGCGGGTTTATTTTGCGCTGTGCTGGCCCGGGCAGGGGACTTGGCTGGCGTCGCCCCCTGTGGGTCGGATCAGGCACCAGCAGCCTCGGCGACACTCGGAACACGCCTCGATGTCATCCGACTGCTGACGAGACTGCGTTTCGACAACGTTCCAGAGGTTTGCTCGACTTGAACCAATGCTGCTGAAATTATGCACTCCCCAAAAGCCGTGCGGCTGATGGGATGAGCAAGAGATACTTTTATTCATGTGAAGAGACGAATACGTGAAGGAGACGTCATCTGCTAATTTATCATGAAAACTAGGGATGTTAGTTAACCAGTAACTCCTACCAGAATCGGCTACTGGTTTCGAAAGTCCAGAACCATTAACAGATTCCGGTGGGATGTAACAAATTTACAGATTGGCTTGTAACAATGTACAAACCGCACGGCACAGGCCTGGATCACGTGTCCTCGTTTCTGCGTTCACGAGGTTCAAGCACCATGTCTGTGCATGTGTGCAGGCACCGGTTCTGCTACTGGTGTGCGATTCACACGGTCACCGCTCATGGATTAATCACGAGTGAAACAGCCGTCTGACAGAACACAGACACTTTATTTGCAAACAAAATTCAGTTCAAGGGGCTCCAGGAAATAACACGGCGCACGCGTGAGAGCGTGTGACAAGTAGTGGGGAGTGATGGCGTATTGGTTGATGCACTGCGCTACGAACCCGGTGCCTGAGTTAAATTCCTACTCGCGACCAGTAAACAGTAAAAACTATCTGAACCAGTCCTGGGCCTCCCCTAAGTCGACTCATCTTCAAATTAGTACATCGATGCGGGGTGTAAACATCACCACGAGGGAAACAAAGGCGGCCAGGCGTGGTGATGGCCATCCACCCCCTCATGTGCCGTGCCGGCGTTCTTATGTGCTGCAGGACTTGCCACAAACAATCCTTTCAGGCTATACTGGGGGATCTTTGTCCTTTGTGGCAAGCAAACAAATTCCATTACAAATCAAATACCAACGTCCACCAGAGAACACACGGCACTGCGAACAAGCGGGAGGCCATCTCTCCAGTGGGCGACTTTCGTCATCCAGAACAGACCGTACAACATATAATGATGCAATGCCCGATCCACAAACCCGAAGGAGACATTACAGCGATACACTGCGCTGCTCCTGACGCCGTTGTCTGGCTTGATCACCCGAATGTGATATCGTAGTTGTTGCTCTGCATCTACATCAGCTGTACAAAAGAATAACTGCTGTCGTTTACATTCTTGGAGTAGTGCCTGAAGTCTAATCGTAACGGATGGCCCGTTAAGGCTTCATTTCAACTCCACCCGGCACATCACATCCAGTATTATACCTCTCGCTATGGCTGTCGGTAGCTGCAACTAGTCATATGCCAAATACCCTGGTCCACCAGCAACCCGGAAAATATTCAGTGAGATATTAAGCCCCAAACACACCACATCCAGTATACCAGTCCAATAACAAGCTCAATGTCCATCAGCTGAGATGTCATGACCACACCAGATCAGATGTCATTATCTCCTTAGCTGAGGTGTCATGACCTCTTTGGTTGAGATCTCACAATCATTATCATCATCACTGTGACCCCATCGGCTATGGCCTACACCAGACACAACCTCCGCATCAGCCTGCAACACAAGCAGCACCACGTCCAGTGCTGCCTGCCAGGTCCCAACCTTGGCGGCCGCCCCATCGTACACGGGCCCCGTCACGCCCTCCCCTCCGCCCCCCTCCACCTCCTTCGGGCCCCCAACACCAGGAATCACGGGTCCCACCTCCCCCCTCGCCTCTACCGTGCTGACAACAGCGGCCGCCTCCCATTGAGAGCGGTAGCACCCCGTGTTGTACATGGCGATTACGAGATAGCGCCGCCACCCATCAGCCAGCGCCTGTAGCACAGCCGGGTGATGTCGGTGGGACTCGCCACACCACCAAGCACCCCCGCCGCCACCACACTCTGGTTGGGCATCACCCTCTGGACGCGAGTTTAATCTGTGAACCTGGCTCGCAGCGGCATCGGCCCCTGAGCCCAGGGCCGATGATTGCGCTCGGGAGGCCATGTCCTGTAGGAGGCGCACGCAGTGCAGCTCAGAAACGCCGGCGCCCGGTAGAACCTGACCGTCGTTTATGGCGCCACTCAGCCGACGCGCGCACGCCCAGAACCGCGATTCCATCACAGGCAGACGGCAGGGCACGCGGCCGCACAACACCACCGACTGCACCGCCGCAGTCTTCACGATCACTCTCGTGCCGCCATCGCTGCTGCGACTGGCACCAGCTCGGCGAGCGGTCGGGACGGCCGCCTCCAGCTCCTCGTCGATTAACTCAAGAGAAAGGGTGGCTGCGTGGGAAGCGCCGGCCTGGCACGGGTAGGTGAGTATCTTGGCGCTGCTCGCCTGGGACACGGCGCGCAGCACGGCCGCTGGCACTCGAGGCAGGAAGATGATGCCGAGGTTGGTGCCGCGCTCGGCGAGCTGCGGGCAGATCTCCCCACGAGCCAGCACCAACCGTGCTCGTGTGCCACTCAGGGCCAGCGCCGTCTCCTCCAGCCACGCGTCCTGCTCTTCTGCTTGCCAGGGCGACGTCGCGTCGGGCGCAGGCTGTGAGCCGTAATTCGTTGATCCCGGCTGTCGTGGCTCGTACGGTTTGCTGGCGCCGGGATGACTGCCCGGCGTGCTAAACCCACTTTGCTCGCGATCCATTCCGCACCAGAATACTACCTGTCCACGCTCGAGTCCCTGAAAGCCTGGGTGGCGATGGCCGGCGGTGAGGTCCCCTCCAAACAGCAGAGCACCGAGTGGCCTTCCGCTCAGACTCCTGGCGACGGCAGCGTCAGTGGCGGGCACGCTCGTCAAGTAGCCGTCCACGACTCGGGACGCGTCCTCACTCCACCCTGGCGTGAGCACCGTGACGATGCACCGGAGGTCGAACTCCAGCCGCAACGCCAAGCCGTGGCGCGCGCGTATCTGAACGAGGTACGTGTCCCAAGCCAGCCCCATCTCCCGCTCCTGGCCATGGCTTAGCCCCCACGCGAGTCGGCCCACTCCGCACACCGTGATCGGCACCTCACTTCTCGTGGAGTCCTTGCTGCTGCGCGTCGACGGCCGGCGAGGCAGAACGTGAGTCTTGGTAACGTCCTCGCTGGGAACTGACTCACCCGCGTTTGGACAACGACCGTGATCTTCACCGCAGGACGAACGAATCGAGCCGTAGGCGCCGCGCGGTTTGGCCGAGGTCGAGTGGAAATGCCGGCTGAGCAGTCGCCGAGGTTGAGCTGCCACCCTGGAGTTGCTCACGCACAGAGCGGCCTGGTCCCATCGAGCGGAGCTGCCTGGGTTGGGCGCCGCAGTACTTCCATCGCACGACAATCGCCATAAATCCTCTGTCGCCAGGCTAGACCCGGCTTCTTCATCGTCATTATCGTCATTATCGTCATCATCGTCGTCACTGTCGATGAAACGTGGCGGCGCTATTGGAAAAGTCAGCATCATCACTGCTCGGGCACATTCGTCTATCGCTTCGACAGCCGTGCGGGTGACTTCAGGGAGAGGCACGGCGCTCTCCTTCACGCAGCGAGCCAGCGCCCTGCCCCACTCCCCGGCCAGCACCGCTACGCTCGTGCCACCGCAGCCGTGCCCGACCTGCTGGCCCCGCACCGCGCCCTCCAGCAGCTGGCCCGCCGGGGAGCGTGCGGGGCCCAGGGTCCGCAGCAACTCGAAGCCCGAACCGACCAGGGCACACTCGGGGCCATGGCCCTCGCGAACAAACTTGAGGGCCTTGACGGGCCCTAGCAGCGAGTGAAAGTGGGACGTGACGGCGAGCAGCTCGCGCAGGGCCCCGCCGACGGGGGGCGATCGCAGGTCGGGTAACCTCTCGGAAGCCGGCGGCGGACCCTGAGGTTCATCGCACAGAGCACACGGGCCACTCCTGCACGCTATTCTGCGCACCCTCCCGACTTGCCATGCCGGTGCGTCCCACCCTCTCACCCGAATCAATATAGACCCGGGTCCCGTGAGCCGTCCCTGTGAATGGCTCAGGCTCTCGTTAGCTCAAAATTCAACGCTGAACAACGTCGGAGAAAAACTCTGAGCTAATGGCGACGGCCTAAACATATTGGACCCCACCACTGAGCCAGCTGGTGACACCCTTCCCCAAAAACAAACCAACGACTCAATTGACTCCGCATGACCCATGATGACAGACCCGGTCACCAGCTCCACAAGCGGAAAATTAAAAGCCCGGCACTTGACTGCAGAGATCCTGACCAAATCATGGAGTGTATTGTGAACCGATACTAACTTTGCTAATTCAACCGAGCCACAGCAGCAATGAGTAGGTGAGTGGGTGAGTTGGTGGGTGAGTAGGTGGGTAATTGAAGAGTGGGTAATTGAAGAGTGGGTGAGTGAGATGTTGTGACTTGCAGTCTTGTCGCTAAACAGTGTGGATGAGACGAAAGAGGAGTCAGTGTCTGGTAGACCAAATCCTCAACACGTGTGAAGGAATCAAATCGGTGAAGTTCTCAACCACCCTGACTGCTTTACTCTGCATTCTGACCAATAGCGTCGTCTCTGTGTTTCTGTGTAAACCGCGCCGTGTTGGCCAAAACAGGTGCTCGCTAACCTGCACTTGCCCCAAGAGCCTATGTGGGCTTCACAGAGAACATTTGTCTCTGTCGTGCGTGTGATCAGTGTGGATTAGCAGGAAGGTCAGCCATGCAGCCACCGAACTCAGAAGTTACAGCCACATGGAGACAATGGGACACGGGGACATGTATGTATGTTGGACTTCCTTCGTACCGTATGTAGCCAACCGTGATAATCGGAGGTGCCGAAGAAGGACAACAAACTAAACACAACATGCGACTTGTTGATCGACTAAACACGAAAAGCAGACATGGAGGAACATGGACAAATAGACACGGGGACAATGCAGGCATGGAACACACGCGTCTTCGTGTTTCCATTTCCCATATTGTTTCCACACACTACAAACCATACAGTATATAGTCTACACTGTACAATCTATAGGTCTACACTGTATACTCCTGAGACTGTACACCCTAAGATAGTGTATCGTCTATACAGTGTGTGCCCATGGAGATGCCGGCTTGTCTCCCGTCACACACAAACTCCCTGTCACACACACTCACTCCCTGTCACACACACACACACTCCCTGTCACACACACACACTCCCTGTCACACACACACACACACCCTGTCACACACACACACTCCCTGTCACACACACACACTCCCTGTCACACAAACACGCACACTCCCTGTCACACACACACACACTCCCTGTCACACACACTCCCTGTCACACACACACACTCCCTGTCACACACACACGCACACTCCCTGTCACACACACACACTCCCTGTCACACACACACACTCCCTGTCACACACACACACTCCCTGTCACACACTCCCTGTCTCACACACACACACTCCCTGTCACACACACACACACCCTGTCACACACACACACTCCCTGTCACACACACACACTCCCTGTCACACACACTCACACTCCCTGTCACACTCACACTGCCTGTCACACACACACTCCCTATCACACACACTCCCTGTCACACACACACTCCCTGTCACACACACACTCCCTGTCACACACACACGCACACTCCCTGTCACACACACACACACACTCCCTGTCACACACACACACTCCCTGTCACACACACACACACTCCCTATCACACACACACTCCCTGTCACACACACACTCCCTGTCACACACACTCCCTGTCACACACACTCCCTGTCACACACACACTCCCTGTCACACACACACTCCCTGTCACACACACACACTCCCTGTCACACACACACACTCCCTGTCACACACACACTCCCTGTCACACACACACACTCCCTGTCACACACACTCCCTGTCACACTCACACTCCCTGTCACACACACTCACACTCCCTGTCACACACACACTCCCTGTCACACACACACTCCCTGTCACACACACACTCCCTGTCTCACACACACACTCCTTGTCTCACACACACACCTTGTCTCACACACACACACCTTGTCTCACACACACACACACCTTGTCTCACACACACACACACCTTGTCTCACACACACACCTTGTCTCACACACACACACCTTGTCTCACACACACACACCTTGTCTCACACACACACACACCTTGTCTCACACACACACTCCTTGTCTCACACACACACACCTTGTCTCACACACACACCTTGTCTCACACACACACACCTTGTCTCACACACACCTTGTCTCACACACACACACCTTGTCTCACACACACACACACCTTGTCTCACACACACACACACCTTGTCTCACACACACACACACCTTGTCTCACACACACACCTTGTCTCACACACACACACCTTGTCTCACACACACACTCCCCGTCTCACGCCGGGCCGTACCGCTCTGTTCCGCGTCGCCATTGTCCTGCAGTGACGCTCGCAGCTCCTCCCTCCCTCACCGACTCGCACCACCCTCGGCACCCACGCGCTGTGACCCTCTCAGAGCTGCCGCAGGGAGAGGGGCGGAGCGGAGACATGGGGAGATGGAAGGGGCGGAGCGGAGACATGGGGAGATGGGAGGAGCGGGGGATGAGACATGGGGAGATGGGAGGAGCGGGGAATGAGACATGGGGAGATGGGAGGAGCGGGGGAGGAGACATGGGGAGATGGAAGGGGCGGAGCGGAGACATGGGGAGATGGGAGGAGACATGGGGAGATGGGGAGATGGGAGGAGCGGGGGAGGAGACATGGAACATGGGGAGATGGGAGCGGGGGAGGAGACATGGGGAGATGGGAGGAGCGGGGGAGGAGACATGGGGAGATTTGGAGATGGGAGGGGCGGGGGAGGAGACATGGAGAGATGGGAGGAGCGGGGGAGGAGACATGGAGAGATGGGGAGATGGGAGGGGCGGAGCGGAGACATGGGGAGATGGGAGGAGCGGGGGAGGAGACATGGAGAGATGGGGAGATGGGAGGAGCGGGGGAGGAGACATGGGGAGATGGGGAGATGGGAGGAGCGGGGGAGGAGACATGGGGAGATGGGAGGAGCGGGGGAGGAGACATGGGGAGATGGGAGGAGCGAAAAGGAGATGGGCGGAGAGGAAATGGAAGGAGAGGATTCGGGAGAGGGGGCACATGTGCTCGACACAATGCCGTATCAATGTGCATAATTCAAAACACGTTGACAGATGGATGTGAAATGAGTCAGTGGTGGACATTCCACATCCCTATGGCAGAGACGAGCCTATACATCGGACACCTACTGTTGATTTCCCCCACAAAGTGATACCATTTTATCGACCTTGCAAAGTATAATGGGCTGAGTCAACCCTCAATAAGGATTTAAGCTCGCGACGTTCCTTCCGATAGCGAGCCGCTCACTCCACCCCAGAGCCAAGCAGCCGGAGGTCAAATCCAGATGACCTCCGTGTAGTCACAACCACGGGGGCATGTCGTGTGTGGTCATCAACAGGCCAATGTGGCACAGCAATTTAATTTATTGTACCTTTTGTAACTTATAATTCGGGCTGTTAATATCGGTTATCAGTTTGCCACATACACAAATGTCCAGCAAGTAGCGTATTCATTACTGGAAAATTCCTCTGGAATCGGTGACTGGTTCCTAACCAGTGAAACGGTAAGCGATTGCGAAAGCGATTACCGGTTCACTGTTATCATTTAACAAACCTGTTTGGAATGCACTAACAGTGGCATCGCTGTGCATATGTTGCATTAGAGGGGGCTCATTGTTGGTGTTGACGCTTAAGTGTTGTAGATTTAGAACTGTTAGGTATTGACAATTGCAATGTTGGCCAGCAGGGGTCGTTTAGATTCAATGTCGGCCAGCAGAGGTCGTTTAGACTCCAGTCTTTGATTTCCGTAACCGTGTTCAAAACGTGGTCTCCACCAGACACTGGCTGTGTCGTCTTATCCACCACGCTGTCTTCAACCACCACTACCATACTGTACAGAGCAGCAACCGTTCGCTGGTGCCATGCTAGGTGCACTTTGAGGCCACATGAAGTGTTGAAGGCTCGCTGGCAGGTCACGGGACAGACCCAGGTGCCAAGGGTTGACTGCGATGACTGGTATATGCACCACCTGTGCTCCTCACTGTGCCAACTTCCTACATTTTAGCCACCCTGCGCTTCGCTCATTGTGAGCATCGCTCATCCGCCCACAGCTGTTGTTGGAGGGCGACTGCCTCCAACGGCCCAGTAGCGTCCTTCACGAGCCTCCTCCACAGAGGCCGACATTGGCACCGCAGGTACCGGTCATCGTCAAGTCCAATCAGCTCCACATCATCTGCATCAGTCCATCTCTTCTCCAGCCCGTGTCGCGCCCGTTTCGCCCCCTCTATTCGGCCAAACAGCTGCTGCGTGGCTGGGCATGCGGGCTCTATGTCACAGCCAATGCAGTCTTGCCTGCCGGCGAAACTCACTGATGGGACTATGTCCAGATCTTTTAAGCATTTGTGAACTCCTCACACAATTCAGCCTGGTTAATCCTAGGATAGATCGTAGGCAGGTCAGCCTTAATGTTTGAAATCGGCGCAGATGTTCCTTCAGCGGGGTCCACGTTTCGCAAGTATCGAGAGAAGGGAGGGCAAAACTGTGGCCGAGAAAACCCGAAGTTTCGTGTGGAGTGACAGGCCAGGTAGCTTCCACGCAATATTACACAGCTGATGAAAAGATAATGCCGCTCGACTGATTTGGAGTGAGACCTCTGCCAAACCGGAGCTGGTTATCAGCACACTACCCAGGTACGGAAACTCTCCACAATTGCCCCATCACTCATGGGGAGTTGAGGGGGTGGAGTTTGTGATGAAACAAAATACTCAGGCAGAGCCTCCAACTCCTTCTCAGAATGAGCCGCAATCACAAGATCATCAGCATACATAAGATGATTGACCAAAAGGGAGCCTTCCCTTGACCGAACCCGCTCTTCCACTTCACCCACTCACTCTTCCACTTCACCCACTAGCCCACTCACTCTTCCACTTCACCGACTCACTCACTCACTCTTCCACTTCACCGACTCACTCTTCCACTTCACCGACTCACCCACTCACTCTTCCACTTCATCGACTCACCCACCACTCTTCCACTTCACCGACTCACCCACCACTCTTCCACTTCACCGACTCACCCACCACTCTTCCACTTCACCGACTCACCCACCACTCTTCCACTTCACCGACTCACCCACCACTCTTCCACTTCACCGACTCACTCACTCACTCTTCCACTTCACCGACTCACTCTTCCACTTCACCGACTCACCCACTCACTCTTCCACTTCACCGACTCACCCACCACTCTTCCACTTCACCGACTCACCCACCACTCTTCCACTTCACCGACTCACCCACTCACTCTTCCACTTCACCGACTCACCCACTCACTCTTCCACTTCACCGACTCACCCACTCACTCTTACACTTCACCGACTCACCCACCACTCTTCCACTTCACCGACTCACCCACCACTCTTCCACTTCACCGACTCACCCACCACTCTTCCACTTCACCGACTCACCCACTCACTCTTCCACTTCACCGACTCACCCACTCACTCACTCTTCCACTTCACCGACTCACCCACTCACTCTTCCACTTCACCGACTCACTCACTCTTCCACTTCACAGACTCACTCTTCCACTTCACCGACTCACCCACTCACTCTTCCACTTCACCGATTCACCCACCACTCTTCCACTTCACCGACTCACCCACCACTCTTCCACTTCACCGACTCACCCACTCACTCTTCCACTTCACCGACTCACCCACTCACTCTTCCACTTCACCGATTCACCCACTCACTCTTCCACTTCACCGACTCACTATTCCACTTCACCGACTCACCCACTCACTCTTCCACTTCACCGACTCACCCACCACTCTTCCACGACACCAACTCACCCACCACTCTTCCACTTCACCGACTCACCCACCACTCTTCCACTTCACCGACTCACCCACTCACTCTTCCACTTCACCGACTCACCCACTCTTCCACTTCACCGACTCACCCACCACTCTTCCACTTCACCGACTCACCCACCACTCTTCCACTTCACCGACTCACCCACCACTCTTCCACTTCACCGACTCACCCACCACTCTTCCACTTCACCGACTCACTCACTCACTCTTCCACTTCACCGACTCACTCTTCCACTTCACCGACTCACCCACTCACTCTTCCACTTCACCGACTCACCCACCACTCTTCCACTTCACCGACTCACCCACCACTCTTCCACTTCACCGACTCACCCACTCACTCTTCCACTTCACCGACTCACCCACTCACTCTTCCACTTCACCGACTCACCCACTCACTCTTCCACTTCACCGACTCACCCACTCACTCTTCCACTTCACCGACTCACCCACCACTCTTCCACTTCACCGACTCACCCACCACTCTTCCACTTCACCGACTCACCCACCACTCTTCCACTTCACCGACTCACTCACTCACTCTTCCACTTCACCGACTCACCCACTCACTCACTCTTCCACTTCACCGACTCACCCACTCACTCTTCCACTTCACCGACTCACTCACTCTTCCACTTCACCGACTCACTCTTCCACTTCACCGACTCACCCACTCACTCTTCCACTTCACCGATTCACCCACCACTCTTCCACTTCACCGACTCACCCACCACTCTTCCACTTCACCGACTCACCCACCACTCTTCCACTTCACCGACTCACCCACCACTCTTCCACTTCACCGACTCACTCACTCACTCTTCCACTTCACCGACTCACCCACTCACTCACTCTTCCACTTCACCGACTCACCCACTCACTCTTCCACTTCACCGACTCACTCACTCTTCCACTTCACCGACTCACTCTTCCACTTCACCGACTCACCCACTCACTCTTCCACTTCACCGATTCACCCACCACTCTTCCACTTCACCGACTCACCCACCACTCTTCCACTTCACCGACTCACCCACTCACTCTTCCACTTCACCGACTCACCCACTCACTCTTCCACTTCACCGATTCACCCACTCACTCTTCCACTTCACCGACTCACTATTCCACTTCACCGACTCACCCACTCACTCTTCCACTTCACCGACTCACCCACCACTCTTCCACTTCACCAACTCACCCACCACTCTTCCACTTCACCGACTCACCCACCACTCTTCCACTTCACCGACTCACCCACTCACTCTTCCACTTCACCGACTCACCCACTCTTCCACTTCACCGACTCACCCACTCTTCCACTTCACCGACTCACCCACTCACTCTTCCACTTCACCGACTCACCCACTCACTCTTCCACTTCACCGACTCACCCACTCTTCCACTTCACCGACTCACCCACTCACTCTTCCACTTCACCGACTCACCCACTCACTCTTCCACTTCACCGACTCACTCACCCACCCACTCACCACAATGCAGCTGATCACCTCAAGGATCTTTCCGCTTCTTCCCTCGCTTAGCTCCATTATGGAATGCCCTCGCATCATCGTCTCGTTTGCCAAGCTCTTACAAAAAAAAACATGAATCATGTCAAATATTACTTATGACAACTTCGCCAGTGCTGTTTGTTCGGTGTCTGCGGACGCGGCGAACGGCCTGGGCGGCTGCTTTTCCGCGCGAGTCCACGAGAGGGCGCCCTCAGGCCGCACATCGCCCTCGCCTCCCCGCCTCTCTCCTCCCTGTCTCTTCATGACGCTGGTGCCACTCGCTGCAAGGCAGGGCCTGGATTCGGGGGCCTTTCTCTGTGGCGCGCGTGTGTGTGTTCCTCCTGTTCTGCATGGGTTTCCTCACATAACTAAAACCACACACACACACGGAGCGGAACTGGTATTGGCCAACATATCCCGATACTCACAAAATCCACAGCAAATGACCCAAATTGAGATCGCAGACAGCGGCAGCAACACCGCCCCCTGCTGTGACACCACCGCAGGCTGCGCCTCGTGGGGCAGCGGCGCCTCCCTGCGGGACCCCGGGCGCCCCGCGCTCTGGGAACGATAGGCGCCCGTACCACGTGCACTCAGTCATTGTTAATCATTATTATTAATAGTTTACAGATAAAACGGACCACGGGTATTGTTATATGCGAAACTTACGCCAGACGTTGACCTCATTGATCCCTCTGTCGCCGCTACCGCTTAAATAACTCCCCCCTCTATCTCTTCTCGTGATCTCTGTGCCCTATTACATCTCGTCATCCACTACACATCTCCAACACATTATTATTATCGACTCCTCGCGATCCACCACTCTTCCTCATTCCTCGATGTCGCCGTTACCCCTCCACCCTCTCACGCATCTCAGCCGCTGCTCCCCCCCTCCCATCGCTCTCGCTCCTCCTCTCATTCTGCCTCCACCCCTCCCCGACCGCGTCTGCCGTTCCGCCACACAGTGAGAGGCCGTCGCTTCGCCCTTCACCCCTCGGCTGCCGTGAGAGAAGAGGGGAGACGATAGAAGAGTGGGTAGAAGACTCGAGGAGATAGAAGAGGAGGCCTCCAGCCCGGGGCGGACGGACCGCGGCGTCTCCCTCCGCCTCCCCACGGTCATGGGCAGCGGCGTGGACAGAGCCACAGAAGCGGGGCCCTGACCGAGTGACAGAGCCACAGAAGCGGGGCCCTGACCGTGTGAGGGGAGCAGAGGGGGATCGGGGCGAGGGGCAATCAGGGCCCTGATAAGTTGAGACCTGGAAGAAAGGGAGCAGCGCCTTGAACAGAAGAGCAAGACGACCAGGGGAGAGCTGGGCCCCCAGAAGTTGAACTGGGACCCCTGTGTAAGGAATCTGGGGCCCTAGAGAGGGATCGGGGCCCCGGGGAGAGGGATCTGTGCCGCCGCCGCCGCGATGAGATGAGGTGGAGGCACTGCGCCCTGGCCGTGCTGCTCGTGTGCGCCGCCGTCTCATACTTCTCCTGGATGCTGGCATTCAAGCCCGCCTCGCTCGGTACACTCAATACAGTGCACGCTCACTGCAGTCCACGTTCACACACATCGGACGACAGTCTACACGCCGCACCAGTGTACACGTTACAGTACAAAACTGGTAAACACCGCACTTGTACACAGCACGAGTACTAACCACGACAATAACACATCGCCTTCTACCCACACTACAGTACACATACAGAACAACAGCCTGTGCACACTCCAGTATGCACCACACTCTACAGTCTTTGTGGCAGTACAGTATGCACCGCACTCTCCAGACTAACAGTGTTCACTGCGCACTGATGTAGTGGCGTGGGCCATGCTGGAGCCGCAGTGTCCGCCCCGTGAGCCGTGGTGGTGCAGTGGAGAAGGCGTCAATGCAGTAAAGAGCCAGGAGATTATGTTTATCCCGGAGGTGTTGAGATCCCAGAAATGATGTGTGGAGGTCATGGAGTAAGAGTTGGGAACGTTCAAAAGCGATTTTTTTGGCCTGTAGATAAAGTTAATGGGACCCTTATACATATTGATCTCACGGACTTAATGTTCAGTGGTGCCAGGTATTCGTGCTGTAAATTCAGTTCATGCTGAGTAGATGCTGGAATTAATGTGGAGATAAATGTCAGTGGAATCTGCAATTACTGATCTAATTTTGAGATCCTGAACCCTGTATGTTTGAACATTTGCTGAGCAAAGGCCCAAAACATCAAGTGGCCAGAAGTTCAGCAGTTCCACTGCTGGATTATTTTTTCCACCTGAGGACGACCGCTTGTGTTGCGATCGAAACGTCGTGATATATTATTTTTTGTTTTATTTTTCTACTTACGTGACTTTACCGAAAGAACCAAAGAGTATGGATTCCTGCAGTCACGAAAGCTTCAAATCAAGATAGCACTATCAAAGTTTGAATTGATAAGAGTTAACACGATTCTTTAAATGAACAAGTCTTCTAGCTTTGGAAAAGAGACAAGCAGGAATTTAAAAAATGAAGCGGTGCGAGGGAAGAATCAGAATGAGAAGTGGTGTGACCTAAAGTGTCTTGACTGCGTAAGTGGGTGGGTGGGTAGTGTGTTTTGTGACCTGCAGTATGGTGTTTGAACCATGTGGATGGGATGAAACGGTCAGTCTGGTAGATCCGAGTCCTCAACATGGGTGGAGGAATCGATATATTGTTGAGGAGAGCCAGTAACTAGGAGCTGAGATTTAAGTCCGTGAAGAGACTCGGGGCTCGGGGTTACAAGGCTGGCAGATGAGCCTCACTTATCCTGTTAAAGCCACCCTCCCAGAGCCACCTGTGAAATGGTGCGGTGCGAGACATGAGCTGGGATCATCGACATTACTCGAATGTAAAATGTGTGTGGATAAACATAGGGATTTTCAAATGTGTGTTGATCAGGGTTATTATGGCATACATTCAGTGGGGTTTTAGGCAATGTTCTTATGAGCATGTGTGGGCTGTATATTTGTATAAAACATGTATGCGTCATTTTAACACGTAGGCTTTCGCGACCAATATCCATAATATAAGTGTTTTGGGTTAGATTGTGTAAATATCAATGTGTTGTTAAACCCGCCAATTGGCTGTGTCGGGTGGTGGCGGGTTTAACGACATTCATATTGACACGATCTAACCCAAAAAACCCTATATTATACATGTATGTGTATAACACATGTGAGAAAGCTGCTAAAGACCGTCCGGCATGGCGTGGGCTTGTTGGGGCCTTGTGCTCCACAGGGAGCAAAGCGGAGTAAGTATAACGCATGTATATATATTTTTAAATGTGGATAACAGTTCATTCTAATCTGCAACAACCATGATCAATTCAGTGCTGGATGAAGGCCTCTGCAAGCTTTCTCTTACGATCCTGTAATGCAACGATCCATCCAGCACCATGTATGTATGGATGTTGAACTTCTTTCGTACCATACGTAGCCAACCGTGCTAATCGGAGGTGTGTGCACCAGCACGAAGATCATGGTTATGCATTTCAAATGTGCCTTGATCAGGATTATTTTTGGCCTATGTTAATCAAGATTGTGAAACAAGTTAATTTTGCGTGAGAACTCAAGATAGCAAAATTATTATTATTTGCAAGAGTGACCTGAGTGACCACAATGACAAAAACAATAACGTAAAAACAAGTAGCAGAGAAAAATCGTAAAAAAGCAACCCAATATAAAACACAGCAAAAACACCCACATCACAGAGAAAATGGAAAACTGCACAAACAAATCAATATTGATGTTCTCGTGAGCATGGGTATATTTTTTTGTTTACATGGACGCTGTGTGGTTCAAGGTTCATGATGTAGCAATGTGTGGTTCAGTATGGACCATGTGGTGACTGGATAGGTCCCCTCAAGGTTTTTGGCAGCATCGCCTGTGGTGCCAGAAAACCTGGACCTCGTGCCTGCACGTGTCGGTGCTCATGAATGTGCAACCACCTCCACCTAACGAGTATCTGCCATGATAACTGTCTCGGCATGGGCGAAGGACTACTCGCTTGCCGGTCCGGTCACATCAATTAGCGCCGACCACCATGTCCCGTTGCGGCCGTTTGCAGGCTGGAGTAATTAGTTGCGTGATCACGGTGGTTTTGCAATGTACCATTACGTTTAATTCCTGTAATTGCCTTTCCGGTGTGCGATTTAAATGATTCTTTTAGCAGGGCTTATAAGAGAATCTCTGTTGAGCTGTGGTAGGAGATGGGAGTGGCAGTGACCTGTCAGCGCCAGTGGTTGTCATACCTGGCCAGAAGCGTTCTCGAGAAACCAGACCAGCAGCATGTGCCTCGTGTTTACCTTACAAATAGAGCGGGAGAGCTGCTGAGGCAGGAAATAATTTGTGGAATATATACATATATTCAGCAGCTCTCCCGCTATATTTTTCACCTGATGACGATTGCTTGTGTTGCGATCGAAACGTCGTGATATTGTTATTATTTTTATGAATTTTATTATTTTTCTATCTACGTGGCTTTACCAAAAGACCCAAAGAATATGAATTCCTGCAGTCACGAAAGCTTTAAGTGAAGATTTTCAAGCGATCTAACCCAAAAACCTATATAATGGATAATATTCAGTCGATTCTTGGATTCAGCCACAAAGTAATGATCTTATACATTTTATGTCGTGAAACCCTCATCTACACAACGCAGCCAAATTGTCATTTATACAAATGTTAAATGTAGCAATGATTATTATTTCAGCTCACCAGTCAGGTGAATTCGGTTCTTGCTTCACAATCTAGACTTTACACTGTGCTAATACCACAGGTAATAATGACATACAGGTCATTGCATGCAGCTTTGGGGTCCCGAAATGACTTGCCATCACTGGAGGCGTGTACCAGCCAGGCGATTCAGCAGTCAAGCACCGGCTAACATTTCAAATGGGGCGGTTGGGGAAGTTGACGCACTACTTGGGGGGGGGGGGGGGGGAGTCAAAAGTGGTTGTGCTGTAGGAATGTGGCATTTTCACCACGAGCTTCAGGCTGTAAACAGCTCCTTCTGAGTGCCCATATGAAGAGGAAATAATTTTGCCATTTGACTGAAGGAAAATGAGAGTAAAATGTTTATATTTATCTAGAAATGAAGTCATTTCTCATAGCAAACCTAAAAAAAAATATTCGTAATTTTTCATCCATAAACTTTTCAAAAGTACATTTAAAAAGTTCCCCTGTGTGATTCATCATCCTTGCCCATGATGCCTGTGTTTAAACACAGTCGCTGAGCACAGGCCTAATGACCCAAAATGTCAAGCAGCTACCAACAAGCAGCACTATCAGATCTTTAATAGGCAATAGTTATCACGTTTCTTTAATTGAGGAAGGTTATTGAAAGAGCTTGAAAAGTGAGGGAACTCCACAATGGAGCAGTGTGAGGTAGGATACAGAAAAAAAGTGTTGTGATCTGCAGTGTGGTGGGTGAGTGGATTGGTGAATAATTGAGTAGGTGAGTGTGTTATTGTGACCTGCAGTGTGTGGTGGTTGAACACAGTGTAAATACAACAGTCTGTGTGTCTGGTAGACTGAGTCCTCAACACGGGTGGGGGTATCAGTGAGTGAAGTTCACGGGAACAGTAACCTTGTTAGTAGCAAAAGAGTGCTAATGAGGTAACTGGCTACCATTGAGTGGGCGAGTGGACGAGTGGGCAAGTGGGCAAGTGGACGAGTGGACAAGTGAATCGGGGAGTACCGGATCATCAATCGCCCTCACTATGTGTGTGTGTTATGTAAAAGAGGCCTCGTTCATTGAATACAATGGGCAGTGAGGGAGCAGCTGGCCAGGAATGTGCTCCACTGCTCTCCGGACATCACTGTATGGGCACCACTAGCAGCTCCTTGTTTCAGGCTGTGTGGTGGGCTACTGGATAGCAATATCAGTGCGTCTTCTGGCGTGGCCAAGACCACAGGGCCAGGCCGGGCAGGGCTGGGCAGGGGCGGGTAGTGCGGTAGCTTCATACCGGAAGCCTGAGTCAGGAATCTAACCAATTAACTTTTTGCTGTGAGGCACGAGTGTTGCAGCTGCACTACTCTGCTGCCCTATTTAGACGTGTCCTATGTGTGTACAAGGGTAAATTGAGTATTGTCATTCATTAATGAGCTGTATGTGTGCACGTGTGTATGCGACCTCACCGAACCCGACGTGGCACAAACAATGTAATAACTACACACGCTGGGGTGGTTATATTCGGTCATTTTGTGTATCCAGTAACTGCGTGAAAAAAGAGGCATGAAACGTTCCCACTTTGCTTCCACATGTTTTGAAATATCCGGAGCAACAAACCTTCAGCTTGCAATTGTGAAACGCGGGAAACTTCCCAAATCTCCCCCACCCCCCTATCTTGCCACACCATCGGTACACCAAAGTCAGTTCATGATCAGTCGCTCACGTGAGAAATCTTTAACTTAAAGCTTTCGTGACTGCAGAAATTCATATTCTTTGGGTCTTTGGGTAAAGTCGCATAGATAGGTTAAAGGAAGTCTTCAGGAAGATGAACGCTTGTGTTGCGATCGAAACGTCGTAGTTTTTGTTTTTTGTTATTTTCTTTGAACCTATCTACGTGACTTTACCGAAAGACCCAAAGAATACGCTCACGTGAGGTGTGAAGTGTGTGTACACCCACCTCCATGATGTCTGGTTAGCATGGAGGAGTAGACCCTGTAGAGCGGCTCTTTAGTGGAGGCCCTTCCGCCAGCGGTGGCGTGAGCGAGCAATTGCAGGACTGCGCCTCGTCCCGTCTGAGAAACAAGAGCAAACGTGCCCGTGGTGACATAGGCCCCCATGCAGTTTGTCGAAGGCTTGCTGGCAGGAGGTCACGGGACAGACACAGGTGCCACGGGTTGACAGTGAACATCACATGTGACTTCACTGCAGGTCTCTATGGTGATATTTTATTATAATAATATTTGCATTTAATGGGCAATGATGCCTTAGCACATCAACTCATTTTATGTCTCACGTCAAACGTTTGAACGGCACCCCCAGTGGCAGTTGTCCTTGTAGAAGGTGTCACAAGGTGACTCGGCACCGACCTATAAGCAGGTCGTGCAATTCTAGTAGAGCTTTAAATTAGATGAACGAGTGGAATGGAGTCAAGGAGCCGGTCCATGTGAACGTTGCTTCCTGCAGGTCTTGTGGATGGATCGCCTCTCCGGGAGATGCGCTTGCTGCATGAGCGCCTGCAGGCGGCCGAGCAGCTGAGTGTGCAGCGATCGGAGGACCTTCACCGGATCTTGGCGCAAGTGTACCGTGCCGTCTACAGCAAGACGTCAACCGACAACAACTCCTGGGCGGCCCTGTCCAGTATGGATCACAGCCCCCCTCGCTCGCCCCGCTCACCTGTGCCCCGCTCACCTGTGCCCCGCTCACCTGTGCACCGCTCACCCAGGAACCGCTCACCTGGGGACTGCTAACATGGGCACTCATGTGACAGAGAGGGTCCTTGCCTATAACTATTTGGCAATTCACCAGCATTGGTTCAAGGGAGCCTGAGTTGATGACTATTACCAGTGGTGTCAAGATTGAGTTCTGGAGGAGGCTTGTGAGGGAAGCTCCTGGGCAATTGGAGGCAGTCGCCCTCTGAAAACAGCGGTGGGCAGAGGAGCGACGCTCAGAACAACAAACGGAGCGCCGGGTGGCTACAATGCAGCAAAGTGGTACAGTGGGGAGCACAGGCTATGCTAGTCATCTCAGGCAGTCAACACATGGCACCTGAGTTTTTCCTGTGATCTACCATCAGCAGCAAGCATTCCATACTTCACGTGACAACCTCACAGTGCAATTAGCATGGCGTAAGCATCGTGATGATGTCACCGCCACTTAATGGCAAATAGCGGCCGTTGTTGATGTGTGTTTGTGTTGAGGCTCTCGTGGGATCTCTGTCTTTGTGCAGACGAAACGCAGCGTCTGCTGAAGGAGCTGACCCTGCACGGCAGCCTGCACGTACCCAGCATCTACCATTACCTGCCTCACCTGCGCAGCCAGCCTCACGGCCTACAGCCGCTGGTGCACGCCAGCGCCAGCCGCACTGGCGGTGAGGCCCACCTGGCTTACGGGCATTTACACGGCAGTATTCGCCACCACAACGTGGACGTGCACAGCCGACATGTGCGATCACGCTCGTTTACCCGGAGTTATTTTTCATGTTGCTCTATGTCATCCCTATTGAGTAATTTGAGAGTAATCTTCCGCATTGGGATATTTGGCCAATATCAACATAAATGCGGAACACTTCAAAACCGAAAAGAGGGAAGGAGACTTTCTCTGTTGCAGCAAGCGGCGATGACGCTGCCGCTGGGCCTTGTCACTGCCCGTGGAGAGTGCTGGCTGAGAGCACACGGGGTCTTGACTGTGGCCTGTAATCCAGTGCTGTTGAGCTGGCAAGGCTTGGTGGATCACACACATGCTGTGGAACTCCCTGTGGGTATTAATGAGGTGCCATACCTTGCTCGCCAGGAGAAGGCAGCATAGCAAGTGGACTGTATGTATGTTGTTGAATCTTGACTTAAAGCTTTCGTGACTGCAGGAATTCATATTCTTTAGGTCTTTCGGTAAAGTCACATAGATAGAACAATAAAATAATAAAAAATAATACATTAAAATGAAAATTAAGTGAATAAAAATTAATAAGAAATATCATGTTTCGATTGCAACACAAGCAAACATCATCAGGTGAAAAAATAGGGGGTAAAGCTGCTGAGGCAGGCTGTTTTAAAGGTTTGAAATGGGTGTAGCCCAAGGGTCATAAACGAAGTGGGCAGGGCTAGTGATGTTAAAGTGAGAGAGATTAGCATGTCAATGTAAACGGCGGCTTTGTTAGTGTGAACCTGTTACTGTAAAATCAGAGAGTCGAAAATAACTGCTAACATCGGAAGGTAGTATGGAAACATCACAGCCAGTTATGACTTAAACTGGTTAATAACATCCTTCCAATGATTGCTCAGTTTGTACCCATCTTCTCGGTGGAAATTGTGTCTATGTCTATATATCTGGATGGCTTCATGAACGAATCTTTGTTGATAGCCAGTGGGTTTGCAGAGTACCTTCGTCTTAGAGAAATCAATTTTGTGTGAGCCCACCGCATTAAAACAATGATCAGCCATGGCTGAGGTGTTGGTCCTACCGTGTTTCATATCTGCCTTATTTTCACGAACACGGTCCGAGACATCTTCTTTGGTTCTTTCGGTAAGTCACGTAGAATGAGAATAAAATAATAAAATAAACAATAAAACTCTCACGACGTTTCGGCCACAACACAAGTAGCCGTCCTCAGGTGAAGAAACAGGACTGTTCAGAAGACAGCGCTTGAGTGAACCCTGTCAAGCTTGACAGTGTCTTTTCAGCTGTGGGAGGAACAGAGAGCCTTGACAAAGGAGCATGTAACTGGGAGATTAGCATTACGGAGAGCGAACGAGCTGGGACTGGAAGAGGGGGGAGTGGAGTTTACATATAAATTAGCATGTAACTGGGGGATCAGCATGATGTTGGTGTGAGGGATTAGCACCACGGCGAACGACGAGCTCGGACCGGGGGACGGGGGGAGAGGAGTTTACATATAAATTAGCATGTAAGGCTCTCTGTTCCTCCCACACAGCTTAAAAGATGCTGTCCAGCTTGACAGGGTTCACTCAAGCGCTGTCTTCTGGACAGTCCTGTTTCTTCACCTGAGGACGGCTACTTGTGTTGTGGCCGAAACGTCGTGAGAATTTTATTGTTTTATTTTATTATTTTATTCTCATTCTACGTGACTTTACCGAAAGAACCAAAGAAGATGAATCCTTGCGGTCCGAGATATGTCGCTTAGTTTCCCCAATGTAACTACTGCCGCAGGCACAGATTAGTTTGTAGACGCCGGGGTATTGCATGTCACGGATCACATGCTTCACAGATGGGATCAGATCACGAATTTTATGTACCGTGTTAAATCGAACCTGGATCTTGTGTTTGCTCATGAGTTTGGAAATATTTTTGGTGACCCCTGCTATGTATGGCAAGGTGATGGTTTTGATTGGGTCCTCAGGTGGTTCTCTCCCAACGGTTAGGGTGATAGCTTTACGGATTGTGTAGTCTGAATATCCATTCATCTTGAGGGCTTGGTGTACATGTTCCAGTTCACTGGCTAGGTGGTGATGGTCGGAAATACAACGAGCTCTATGGTGTAGAGTTTTGATGAGGGAATTCTTCTGGGATGGATGGTGGTGGGAGTCAGGTTTTAAGTATGCATCTGTATGGGTGGTTTTCCTGTAGACAGTGTCCCATTGAGCCATCTGGTCTCTTGTCAATTAAAACATCCAAGAATGGTAACTTGCCATTTTCCACCTCCATGGTGAATTTGATGACTGAGTGTATGGAATTGATGTGGTTGAGGAATTGGTTCAGAGCTGGTAGGCCATGTGGCCAGATGACAAACGTGTCATCTACATACCTCTTCCACAAGGACGGATGTAGAGTGGATGACTGGATGGCATCTGTCTCAAAAATGTTTTCCATGAAAACATTGGCTACAACTGGAGATAAGGGAGAATCCATTGGGGTACCTTCAACTTATTCTTAGTTTTTTCGGTAAAGTCACGTTGAAGAGAAACAACAAAATAACAAAATATATATAAAACAATAAAAAATTCTCACGACGTTTCGACCATAACTCAAACGGTCATCATCAGGTGTGTCGGTTTGCATAAATTTATTTTGAAAACGGCATATTTATTTATATATATAAAAATAACGTTTGCGTCACGCGCAACGATGGCAGTTTGCCAGGACTAGTCCATCTATTTTTTTTTTTTTTTTTGAAAAGAGGAGGGGGGAGACGAAATTTGTTTTTATGTAAGCTGTCTGAAAGGCACTGTAAGCGTGAACAATCAATCAAGAACTGAAATGATTTATCAAATCTTTCCAATGATTGCTGAGATAGAATCCATCTTCTCGGTTGAAATTGTCTCTGTGTTTGTATATGTGGATAGCCTCATGAACGAATCTCTCATGGAAGCCAGATGGCTTACAAAGAACCTCCGTCTTGGAAAAGTCAATGGCATGTGAGCCTACTGAATTAGAACAATGATCTGCTACGGCCGAGGTGTTGGTCCTACCGTGTTTAAGGTCTGCTTTATGTTCACGAATGCGGTCCGAGATATGGCGTTTGGTTTCTCCAATGTAACTACTACCACAGAGGCAACTTAGTTTGTAGACACCAGGGTATTGTATGTCCGGAATCACATCTTTTACAGACGGAACCAGATCACGGATTTTATGTAATGTGTTGAAACGGACCTGGATCTTGTGTTTATTCAAGATTTTGGAGATCTTTTTTGTGATCCCAGCAATGTAGGGTAAAGTGATGGTTTTGAAAGGCTCCTCAAGAGGGTTCTTCTTCATGGTTTGAGTGATAGCTTTGCGGATTGTATAGTCGGAGTAACCATTAGCCCTAAGAGCTTGGTGTACGTGCTTGAGTTCACTGCTTATGTGTTCCTGGTCGGATATGCATTGGGCTCTATGATACAGAGTCTTGATGAGAGAATTCTTCTGTGATGGATGGTGGTGGGAATCCGGTTTCAGATAAGCATCCGTATGGGTAGCTTTCCTGTAGACAGAGTGGCTCATTGAACCATCAGGTCTCTTTTTAATTAGGACATCCAAAAAAGGTATCTTGCCATCTATTTCGACTTCCATGGTAAATCTGACGGCTGGGTGTATGGAATTGATGTGGTCGAAGAATTTGTCTAGAGCAGGCCGGCCATGTGGCCAGATGACAAAAGTGTCATCCACGTACCTCTTCCATAAGGTTGGGCGCAGAGTGGCAGTCTGGATGGCGTCAGTCTCAAATTTCTCCATGAAAATGTTAGCTATAACTGGAGAAAGGGGGGAGCCCATTGGGGTGCCCTCAGTTTGTTTGTAGAAAGTTCCATTCCAAGTGAAGTATGTATTGGTTAAACAGTGTCTCACCAGGGGGGGTACCTCAGTGTTTAGTCCTTGATGAACCAAGTCTTCAATGATTGCAATGGTGTCAGGTACAGGAACCTTGGTGAATAAGGAAACTACATCAAAACTGACAAGCAGGTCGTCTGGGGACAGGGAAATACCCTTGATTGTTGATACCAGGTGAGTAGAATTTTGTACCGCAGAGGTGGTCTTTCCAGTGAAAGGACGCAGGATTTCAGACAAAAAACGAGCTAGTTTGTAGGTGGGGGAGCTGATAGTAGAGACTATGGGACGAAGAGGTGTATCAACTTTATGTATTTTTGGTAAGCCGTATAATCTTGGTGGCCTGGCAGCAGAAGGTTTCAACGAAAACTGTTTAGATTGATCAATTAATGTGGTTGAGTCAGAAATTATTTTGTTGGTTTGTGTGACGAGGCTGTTGGTGGGATCTCTTTTTATTTTTGTATAACTACCATCGTCGAGTAATTCTTTAATTTTGTTGTTGTATTCTATTTTATCCATGATAACAGTAGCATTGCCTTTGTCAGCTGAGAGAACTACAATATCATTCCTCTTTTTTAATTTATATAATTCAAAACGCTCATCTTTGCTGAGGTTGCTAGCTGGCATCTTAGCGTTTTTGAGGGTTGCAGCGATTTCAGATCTTGCTACGTCTGCAGCGATGTGACCCAGGCCCCTGAGAGCAACGTCTACTTGGGCAATTATATCATTAACTGGTATGTGTTTAGGTGTGACTGCAAAGTTTAGACCTTTAGCTAAAACGGATTTCAGACCATCGGAAATAGAACTGTTACTGCGATTAATTACGACTTTATTAACGTCTAACTTTTTGGTGTGTGGGTCCGGTCTTTTGTTTAAGAGGAGGTTAAATTTGGAAATCAGGTTTTCCTTACATTTGGTCGACATCGTAGCAGCTGAAGAGGCAGTCATATAGTCTACATGTTCCCAATCCGATGTGGACATTATTGCCGTCAATGATAAGTGTGATTTGTAGAGTGTCTTGTCTAACTGATCTAGTTCTGTGCGTATAAGTCTGATTTTTTCTGAGATAAGAGCTAAGCTAGTTTTGAAAAGAATTCGTTTCGCATTAGAAGA